CAATGACTTAGTCCCAGTTTTTAATTTCGGCTCTCTGTGAATTTGAGTTTGACTCTCCTGATTTAGATCCTTTTAGATTTAAAACAATTGGAAAAAAAAAAAAAAAAAAGCATCACAAATGAAGAACTAAGCGTACCTAACCAAGAAAGAAACCGACCAGGAACTAATCAGGAGTGGGAGTGTGCAAAATGATCAATATATCATATCGTTGAATGTGATGATACAGTATCGATATCGTGGGCTGCTGTATCGATATATCGCCAAGAGTATTTTTTGGTATGTTTTACTAAATAATTTTGTTACTGCACTAAAGTTTTGTTGCTCGTTTAAATTATTAAAATGGGTGTGTTTCATTTTAACTTTGCACAAGAAGTAAATAAAGACTTAGTATCACAGCCATGATTTAGCCTTTATTTTTACTGAATCTTATCGAATTGATTTGAAATCCATCACATCAAATTGTATCAAATCAAAAGCTCAAAGTACTGAGATATGTATCGTATCGGCAACTTCTTAATGATACCCAGCCTTCATCAGGACTGTACCAAATCCAGGTCAAAACCAGATATGGGTCCAGTCAAGTGGTAACGGAGGGAAACGGGCAGATTTTTTACATTCAAATGTCTCTTATTCAGAAACTAGAGGAACTATTGAAATAAGTAAAGTATCAGAATGTAGGAAAGAGTTACACTCCAACAGGGTCAAGTTAAACCTGTGATATTCTTTCAAGTTGTTGACAAAAAATTAAAAAACTCATGTTGGTAACGGAGGGAATGAAATATGCAGCACTTTTTGGGCAATAAATACAAACAGTGATACTAGTGGTTCTCACTTACATATCCTTAACAAACTGGTTTGAATATTTGCTTCATATAGTTTTCTACCATATGGTACAAGATTAGGTTGAAAAACCTCTTACTTTTTGAATAATGAGTTTTTTATGAAGAAAGGTCACGGTAACGGAGGGAAAAGTAACGGAGGGAAAATTGTACAAGTAGAAGGTGCATGATTTTACATAATTTGTCGCTTTTTTCTTCTGAATACTTTAATATTACTTCAAAATGAAAGGAAACTATTTCTATAAAATATGTCAGTCCTTCAAAGCAAATTTTTATCATTTTAAATACTTTTTTTTTTTGAAAAATCATGTACCTTCATCAACAGTTCAAAGATGGAATAACACAAGATATGATGAAATACATCAGTTTATTTACATGATTTTTGGGTCTTTGAAATCTGGGAAATAATTTTTGTTCCATGTTTCATACATGGTCTGTTTAAAACATATGTAACTTTAGAACCAAAAATGGTACAGAAAAAAGGTGAACAGTTTCATAAACTAGAGTACATATGTATCTGATCAATACATTTTATATCAGATGCATTAACTTGAATTTTTGGCCTTGTTGTTTACTTCTGCTTGACTGGGCCCTTATGCCAAATGATTTTAAGGTAAGTTTTCCTCTTCCCACTTGTTTTTGGGCAAATTTTTTGTTGTGGTTATTTGTATTATGATTTCACTTATGTTATATGTTCCATTGTATAAGAATGTAAATCTTAAAAAATAAATAAAATAAGTAGTTTGTGAGATCTTAATGTCATTCCCTCATCACAAACAGATCTGGAGTTTTGTTTTGTTTCATTCGTATAAATCCTGCCTTTTTAGACTGTAATCTTCTCTCCATACACCTACACTAGACCAGTAAATAAATCCAGCCCTGGAATTATCATAACCACACAGAGCATTTTAAGCTTTGGAAATGTAAACAGACTAATAATAAAAGGTTACTCAAGCATGCAAGAATGAAACAAAACAACAACAAAACAAGTCCGGGTTTGATTTTATGACGAGCTCACGACATTAAAACACCTCTTAAATCTCACAAGAGTCAATTTTGTGTAATATAGGACCTTTAATCTGTTTTAGTTTTATTTCCATTTAGTTTTTAAGAATGAAAACACCTCCTAAAAACCACCTCACCGAACCAAGTGCTTGCCGAGACTGTCACTCAAGTTCTTTAATTGCCTTAAAAGCATAAAGGCGTGCAGCGGTTTCACATGATTCAAAAGGAGATAGGGAATCGCTCCTTCCTGCTGCAAATCTACCAGAGAATCTTTGACTTTTGCTGTGTTTTGTAAGTAACTCCTCCTTTTATGTTACACAAAAATGACTCTTGTGACCTTTAAGACATGTTAAACTGTTATTTCGTCTTCAAAAACAGACCCAGAGTTGTGTTTTTGTTTCATTCGCACATGTTTAACGCACAAACCCTGCAGAAAACACACAAATAAGTGCTCCAAAGTGTTTTAAAACTCCACACGCCGTCATTGGAATCATTTGGATCATTTCAGCTCTGGAATTGCCAATCTCTACTGAACAGAAAGTAAAAAACTAGCCTCCCACTTCATGACATCACAAGGTGGAACAGAGCATTTTGAGGTTGTATCTGGAGACGTAGACAGACTAATAAACCACGATTACTCAAACATGTGTGAGGAGGTAACAACATTATAACTATGAGTGTGCAAAAATATTGAAATGTATATAAGTATCGATATCGAGGGCTGCAGTATCGATATATCGTAGGGGTGTAACAATAACCTAAATATCGTGATATATAAGATGTTTTGTCCTGGTTTTGGTTCCTAGTTTAGTCCTGATTTAGTTCTTAGTTTAGTCCTGGTTTAGTTTAGGTTTTAGTCCTGGTTTAGTCCTGGTTTTAGTCCTGGTTTAGTCCTGGTTTTAGTCCTGGTTTAGTCCTGGTTTAGTCCTGGTTTTAGTCCTGTTTAGTCCTTTTAGTCCTGGTTTAGTCCTGGTTTAGTCCTGGTTTTAGTCCTGGTTTAGTCCTGGTTTAGTCCTGGTTTAGTCCTGGTTTAGTCCTGGTTTAGTCCTGGTTTAGTCCTGGTTTAGTCCTGGTTTTAGTCCTGGTTTAGTCCTGGTTTAGTCCTGGTTTAGTCCTGGTTTAGTCCTGGTTTAGTCCTGGTTTTAGTCCTGGTTTTAGTCCTGGTTTAGTCCTGGTTTTAGTTTAGTCCTGGTTTAGTTTTAGTCCTGGTTTTAGTCCTGGTTTTAGTCCTTTTAGTCCTGGTTTTAGTCCTGGTTTAGTCCTGGTTTAGTCCTGGTTTAGTCCTGGTTTTAGTCCTGGTCCTTTTAGTCCTGGTTTAGTCCTGGTTTAGTCCTGGTTTAGTCCTGGTTTTAGTCCTGGTTTAGTCCTGTTTTAGTTTTAGTCCTGGTTTAGTCCTGGTTTAGTCCTTAGTCCTGTTTAGTCCTGGTTTAGTCCTGGTTTTAGTCCTGGTTTTAGTCCTGGTTTAGTCCTGGTTTAGTCCTGGTTTTAGTCCTGGTTTAGTCCTGGTTTAGTCCTGGTTTAGTCCTGGTTTTAGTCCTGGTTTAGTCCTGGTTTAGTCCTGGTTTTAGTCCTGGTTTAGTCCTGGTTTAGTCCTGGTTTAGTCCTGGTTTAGTCCTGGTCCTGGTTTAGTCCTGGTTTAGTCCTGGTTTTAGTCCTGGTTTTAGTCCTGGTTTTAGTCCTGGTTTAGTCCTGGTTTAGTCCTGGTTTAGTCGTATCGTCAAAGTTCTCACAATAATATCGAGGACCATCACAATATATAGAATTAAGTCTCTTTGCTTAAATTAAGAGTCATGGTGCAGCAATAGACAGAGGGAACTACATAGACCATGATCCTTTGCTCCATTTCAGTGCAGACTACAAGAAGAAATAACAGTTCTAAACACTTTTAAGTCTTAGTTCTTTGGGTTAAGTCTTGTCAAGGCATTTTAAGAAGAAAAACTCACATATTCACAGTTTTAGCTGTTTAGTCTCCACAAAATATCGCAATAAATATCGTACCGTGAGATGTATATCGTGAAAATATCGTACTGAGAGATCTTGGATATTGTTACATCCCTAATCATGAGCCTCCACAATATCGAAATAAATATCGTTCATACCGTGACGATATCGTATCGTGAAATGCTCCTAAAATATCGGCAAGAGTTCTCAATTATTTTGTTACAGCGCTACAGTTTTGTTGCTTGTTCAGAGGAAAGAAACAAATTTTTGCGACACATTTGACATTTTCACTGTTTTTGAGGATTAAACTGTTTGTGTTTCGTATTAACTTTGCACAAGAAGTGATTTAACAAAGACTTTTCGTGTCACAGCCATGATTTAACCTTTATTTTTTTATTGAACCGTGTCAAATCGAGTTGAAATATATCGTATCGAACCAAAAGTGCACTGTATCGAGATATGTATCGTATCGTGGCTTATGTATCGACGTATTTATCATATCAGCAACTTCTTAATGATACCCAGCCCTAATTCCAACATTATTAAAGCTCACTAGACTAAATTTTGCGTAATATTGGACCTTTAAATAACGTAAAAACACAGTGTAACATAGAAATAGAAATATGCACGTGTTGCCAATGTCTTTTTATTTAAACATAGCCAAAAAATAAGCTTGAAGAACTGCAAAAACGCGCACTGTACCGTATCTTTTCTCAGAATCAATTTGTAATCACACTGGCATTTCAGCATTTCACATCGTCACGCGTGTTCTTCCGTGTCCACAAACAAATTACGGGACTCAAAAAGGGTAAAATAGAAATCGCAACACGCCAAAAATAAAAAATAAAAAAGTATAAACATTCATGCCACCTGAAACAGTTGTGGAATCTCGCGTCTTGGCATCGTTCGCGTTCATGTCGACGCGTTTCTGGAAAGGCAAAAACTTGAACGAAGCGTGTTTTTTTTTCTCAATTTTTAGACAATTCCCTGCTACTTTTTCTTTCTACAATTGCTTCCCACCCTTTACTGACTGCATGCTTTTTTTTTTTTTTTTTTTTTTTTTTGCAAAACGCGCGTTAAACCGTATCTCACCATCACGTTGTTTTCGCTCTGGCATGTCACTGTCACGCCTGCTTGTACGAACCAAAACCGAACTAAAAAAAAAGGGTTAAAATCGTAACACAAACTCCAAAATATTAAAAAAATTCACGTTACCTCAAACAGTTGTGGAATCTCGCGTCGCGCCAGATACTCCTTGGCATCGTTCGTGTTCATGTCGACGCGTTTTTGGAAAGACAACTTGTACGAAGCGTGTTTTTACTCTTTTTTTTTTTTTTTTAAGACAATTTCCCGGTGACTTTCTCTTTGTCGGAGCGCTCACTGCATGTTGGCTTTTAAAACACGGACCCGGCGTAATTCCAGCGCGCTCCTCGCTCTTCGCTCCTCGCTCCTCGGTGATGGTGATGAGTGCGTCCGTGTTTGTGTTCCGTCGCTTCCTTCTCCTCTCCTCCTTCTCCGTCGTCGTGCGTGGATTTGGGTGCGCGCACGAGTCGTTTGGTGGTGTTGGCACGGAGATGCGCGCGGTGCCCAAACATGAAAAAAAAAAAACGCACGCTGTCCCCTCCTCCTCTCTTCTTCTTCCTCCTCCTCCTCGAGCCACGAAACTCTCCACTTTCTCTTGATAGACTTGAGCAGTGCTGGTGGGAAGGTGACTTTTAAAATGTATTCCCCTACAGATTACAGATTACATACCCCAAAATGTAGTTTGTAACGTAATCCATTAAATTACTTTAAAGTGAGTAATGTAATCTGAATACTTTGGATTACTTGTTGTAGAGAAGCAAAGACCAGGAAATCTTCACATGAGATGTTTTGTCTGATAAAAGAAAATAAAAAGTCCAGACTTTACTGAACCAAATAAAAAATATTATTGATAGAAGAGGAGGAGACGCGGTCCACGCGACATGGTTTAGTCCTGTTTTAGACCTGGTTTAGACCTAGTTTAGTCCTGGTTTAGGCCTGGTTTTAGACCTGGTTTAGACCTGGTTTTAGTCTTGGTTTAGACCTAGTTTAGACCTGGTTGTAGTCCTGGTTTAGACCTGGTGTTAGTCTTGGTTTAGACCTAGTTTAGACCTGGTTTTAGTCTTGGTTTAGACCTAGTTTAGACCTGGTTTTAGTAATGGTTTAGACCTGGTTTTTGTCCTGGTTTAGTCCTGGTTTAGACCTGTTTTTTGTCCTGGTTTAGTCTTGGTTTAGACCTGGTTTTAGACCTGGTTTAGACCTGTTTTTTGTCCTCATTTAGTCCTGGTTTAGACCTGGTTTTAGACCTGGTTTAGACCTGGTTTAGTCCTGGTTTAGGCCTGGTTTATAGCTGGTTTAGACCTGGTTTTAGTCCTGGTTTAGACCTAGATTAGACCTGGTTTTAGACCTGGTTTAGACCTGGTTTTAGTCTTGGTTTAGACCTAGTTTAGACCTGGTTTTAGTTCTGGTTTAGACCTGGTTTTAGTCTTGGTTTTAGACCTAGTTTAGACCTTGGTTTAGATCTGGTTTAGACCTGGTTTTAGTTCCTAGTTTAGTCCTGGTTTAGTCCTGGTTTAGTTCGCAGTTTAGTCCTGGTTTAGTCCTGGTTCAGTTCCTAGTTTAGTCCTGGTTTAGTCCTGGTTTAGTTCCTAGTTTAGTCCTGGTTTAGTCCTGGTTTAGTCCTGGTTGTGCTGCACAGACAAATTAATACAATAAAAGAGGACCAGGACCAATAAATCATGAATAAAAAAATAATAAATATAGAAATAAAAATAAAACAAAATAAATAAAATAAATAAATAAAAAGTGTTAAAATGCATAAAGCTACAAATTATTTTCAAAAATTAATAAAATAAATACGGTGTTAAAATCCAGAGAGAGTAAAAGTGGATCCAAGTTTCTCACTCTTTTTCACTGACAAAATTTCCTCCTCAAACTCATACCCAGAGTTGTGTTTTTTCTTTTCATTCACACATGTTTAACGCACAAACCCTGCAGATTTAAAATGAGTTTTTGTCTCAAATTGAAAACACTCAGTTTCACCTTGTGATGTCGAGCAGTGATACAGGAAGTGCTCCGTTGTATTTTAAAACTCCAGACACCGTCACTCGAATCATTTGGATGATTTCAGCCCTGGAATCGCCGATCTCTACTGATCAGAAAGTAAAAGGTAGATGTTGACTTGAAAACTTGCGACATCACAAAGTGGAACAGAGCATTTTGAGGTTTGGAGATGTGGACAGACTAATAAACCACGATTACTCAAACGTGTGTGAACGAAACAAAACACAACCCCAGCTACGTTATTGAGGAGGTAACAACATTATAACATTATTAAAGCTCATGAGACGAAATTTTGGGGAATATAGGACCATTAAATAGCGTAAATACACAGTGTAATAAACAAGAAATATGCACGTGTTGCCAATGTCTTTTAGTAAATAAGAAAATATGAAATGTGAACTCTTTCCACTCACCTTATGGTTTGGTATTATAGTTTTTTAACATTCAAAATACTGTCAGTGCATTTATTGTCGTCTCTTTTAAACAAAAAGTCACATACGTTCGGAAATAATCATAATAGTCTAATGAGAACTTAACAGAACGCTGCAGCTGCGTGAAAGAGATACTAAAATTCCATGACTTTTCCAGGCCTGCATGACGTTTTCAATTTCGATGACTTTTCCAGGATTTCCATGAGTCCTTGTGGGTCTTAAGACGAAACTTAAAACACTCCGCTGTTCAGACGTGGGGGGACAGAGTGTTCCAGAGTTTGGGGCCGGCCACAGAGAAGCCCTGTCCTCCTGGATTTAAGTCTCATCTTAGGCACTACAGGCTGGAGCTGGACCTCGGACCTCAGAGGGCTTAAATCTGGATGAGGTCTGAGACGTGGGGCCGGTCCATTCAAAGCTTTAAAAACAAACAATAAAATGTTAAAATCAACTCTAAAACGAACAGGAAGCCAGTTCAAGATTGGTGTGATATCTTCTCATTTTTCAAAATACGAATGTAAGAGCTATTGCCTATTTGTTGCCTATTATTGCATAGGCTATTTATATGCATATTTGTTAAGATACCGTATTTTCTGCACTATAGGGCACACTAATTTAATCAAAAAACGACTGTGCGCCTTATAATCCAGAGCGCCTTATATATGAATTTATTGGGGTGTCTTAGTACGACTTTAGTAAACTACAAAGCCGCACCACTTGCAGCATTACGGCTACTGTAGTCAGGAGCATCAGGAGTAATACAGACTGTGATTCCTTTTAATATCAAAATGCACCTGTCAAGAGACACACTTACAACACTACTACTTAAACTCAAGGCGTTTATAAAGTGAAAGTGCGAGCTGCGAGGGAGCAGTGGATGAGAGAAGGAGAACACACATTCACCAAGACAGAGAGACAGCGCCGAGCGACTTACGCCACGATCTGCCAACGAATCGTGGACGCCTGGGCTAAGGATCAGTATCAACTGTGGTCCGAGCTTTCACCAAGACCAGAATCATCACTGAACTGCCAGGTAACAGTAACCACACTGACTTGGATAATGACAAGAGGGATGCGGGCGAGCTGGACGCCGTAATCGCCCAACTGTTTGAACAATTATGAGTTATTGTGAATACGAGAACAATTTAGCATCTCAGACAGTATTTTTTTTACATGTTACAATTGAACAAAGTTAAGAGTTATTGTGAATGTGTTAAATAAAGTTTCACTGACTTATCTACCGTATTTCCAGGTTATTAGGCGCTCTGGATTATAAGGAGCACTGTCATTAAATGGTCTATTTTTGAACTTTTTTCACAAATAAACCACACTGGACTATAAACGAAACACAACAGTTGGATGGGTCAGTGGACTTTGTTTGTTCGTTCACGGTGACTCTGGGCTTTGTTCAGTTGTGGCGTGTAGGGAGGGTGCTGTCTGGGACCGCTGGATTGTCGGCGTGTTCGCAGTGACTCAGTTCTTCAGTCGTGTCTAGAAGTGGCACATTGGACTCACTTTTTCGGTTCGTTCCTCCGTTCCGTTCCTCGTCGGCGTGGAGTGATGATTGTATCTGTGGGTGTTTTTCGCTGTGCGGTCGCTGTCTGCTCCGTGTGTGTTTGCGTGCGCTGCGGGTGGTGCGGCTTTGTAGTTTACTGAAGTCGTGCTGGGACGCCTGAGTGGATTCGTATATAGGGCGCACTGGATTGTTTGGCACGTGGCCATTTTTTGATGGGGTTAGAGGCTTACGAGCGCACCTAATCGCCCGGAAAATACGGTAACTGTTGTGTTTCGTTTAATGCGCCTTAAAGTCCAGTGCGGTTTATATGTGAAAAAAGTTCGAAAATAGACCATTCAATGACAGTGCGCCTCATAATCCAGAGAGCCCTACTGGAATTTTCAATCTCTGCTAAATTAAAGGTAAAATGTTGCTGTTAACATCAAAACTACCACTTCTTGAACAGAGGATTTTGAGCTTTGGAGATGTAGACAGACTAATAATAAAGCATTACGCAAACTTGTGTGAATGAAACAAAACACAACTCCAGGTTTGTTTTTGAGAAGGTAACAACATGACTTAAAGAAAACTTTAATAACTTAACAGAAGGCAGCAGTTTCGTGGATTTCCATGAGCGTGGGAACCCGACCAGATGTTATTGTATTGCCTGAAGTGTTCCATGACATTAAACTGATCAATCTCGCATTTATTCTAATTGAGGTTTCATATTATCGAGACAAAGTGTAGAAGAGAAGAGGTTGGGGATTTTGGCAGGGAGTCGTTTCATAACACCGTACGTAATGTGAACTAACACTGCTTAAAAAATGCAGGAGAAAGAGAAGCACAGAGTCTCCGGACATTTGAGGTTTGCAATTTTCAACAGATTCGGTTTGGCAGACACGTTAAAGGGCCCATATTACGCTGTTTTCTGATCTATGTTATAATGTTGTTTCTTCATCAAAAAACAGACCTGGACCATATACACCTTTCACAATATACATCTGACAGTACGATATTTATTGCAATATTTTGTGGAGGTAGACAAAATTGTGAATATGCAACTTTTTCCTCTTAAAATGCCTTGACAAGACTTAATTAAAATTGAAACTAAGATTTAAAAGTGCTTAGAAATGCTATTTCTTCATGTAGTTTGCACCAAAACGGAGCAAAGGATCACGGTCGATGTAATTCCCTCTGTTTTTTTTAGCTACTGCTGCACCATAACAATGAATTTAAGCAAAGAAACTTGATTCCATTTTCTTCTGCTTATCCAGGGCCAGGTCACGGGGGCAGCAGTCTAAGCAGGGACTCCCAGACTTCCTTCACCCCAGACACATCCTCCAGCTCCTCCGGAGGAACCCCGAGGCGTTCCCAGGCCAGCCAAGAGACATAGTCCCTCCAGCGTGTCCTGGGTCTTCCCCGGGGCCTCCTCCCGGTGGGACATGCCCGGAACACCTCCCGAGGGAGGCGCCCAGGAGGCATCCGGAACAGATGCCCGAGCCACCTCAACTGGCTCCTCTCGACGTGGAGGAGCAGCGGCTCTACTCCGAGCTCCTCCCGTGTGACTG